TTCTTTGTCGTAATATTCAAAATTTTTATCGAATGAAGCCCTGTCAACCATGTTTAATTCTTGACAAGTATTTCGTTCATCTTAATTTCACTTGCTTTTTCCTCACCAATTATTCACACCAAATCTCTATCTCTCTCTCTCTCTCTCTCTCTCTCTCTCTCTCTCTCTCTCTTAATAATTCTTTGTCGTAATATTCAAAATTTTATCAAATGAAGCCCTGTCAACCATGTTTAATTCTTGACAAGTATTTCGTTCATCTTAATTTCCTTGCTTTTTGTCACAATTATTCAATTCTCTCTCTCTCTCTCTCTCTCTCTCTCTCTCTCTCTCTCTCTTAATAATTCTTTAATAATATTCAAAATTTTTATCGAATGAAGCCCTGTCAACCATGTTTAATTCTTGACAAGTATTTTCGTTCATCTTAATTTCACTTGCTTTTCTTTTTTATCAATTATCACAAAAATCTCTCTCTCTCTCTCTCTCTCTCTCTCTCTCTCTCTTTCTTAATGAATTCTTTGTGTTTTAATTATTCAAAATTTTATCAGATGAAGCCCTGTCAACCATGTTTAATTCTTGACATTTCGTTCAGTATTTCGTTCATCTTAATTTCTCTCTTCACTTTTTCTCTAATAATTCTTTTTATTCCAGATGAAGCCTAGTTTCCATTTTTAATTCTTCTTTGTTCTCTCTCTTTCTCTCTCTCTCTCTCTCTCTCTTCTAATTCTTAATAATTCTTTGTCGTAATATTCAAAAATTTTATCGAATGAAGCCCTGTCAACCATGTTTAATTCTTGACAATATTTCGTTCATCTTAATTTCACTTGCTTTTCCTCGCAATTATTCACACCAAATCCCTCTCTCTCTCTCTCTCTCTCTCTCTCTCTCTCTCTCTTAATAATTCTTTGTCGTAAAATTCAAAATTTTTTTATCAGATGAAGCCCTGTCAACCATGTTTAATTCTTGACAAGTATTTCGTTCATCTTAATTTCACTTGCTTTTTTGTCAACAATTATTCACATCTCTCTCTCTCTCTCTCCTCTCTCTCTCTCTCTCTCTCTCTCTCTCTTAATAATTCTTTGTCGTAATATTCAAAAATTTTTATCGAATGAAGCCCTGTCAACCATGTTTTAATTCTTGACAATATTTCGTTCATCTTAATTTCACTTGCTTTTTTCCTCGCAATTATTCATTTCTCTCAAATCTCTCTCTCTCTCTCTCTCTCTCTCTCTCTCTCTCTCTCTTAATAATTAATTCTTTGTCGTAATATTCAAAATTTTATCGAATGAAGCCCTGTCAACCATGTTTAATTCTTGACAAGTATTTCGTTCATCTTAATTTCACTTGCTTTTCCTCGCAATTATTCACAGAATCCTCTCTCTCTCTCTCTCTCTCTCTCTCTCTCTCTCTCTCTCTCTCTCTCTCTTAATAATTCTTTGTAATAATATTCAAAATTTTCAATTCAATTCCAAATGGTTCAAAAGCCCTGTCAACCATGTTTAATTCTTGACAAGTATTTCGTTCATCTTAATTTCACTTGCTTTTCCTCGCAATTATTCATGTCAAATCCTCTCTCTCTCTCTCTCTCTCTCTCTCTCTCTCTCTCTTAATAATTCTTTGTCGTAATATTCAAAAATTTTATCAGATGAAGCCCTGTCAACCATGTTTAATTCTTGACAAATATTTCGTTCATCTTAATTTTCTCTCTTTTTCATTCAATTATTCATCACTCTCTCTCTCTCTCTCTCTCCTCTCTCTCTCTCTCTCTCTCTCTTAATAATTCTTTGTCGTAATATTCAAAAATTTTATCAGATGAAGCCCTGTCAACCATGTTTAATTCTTGACAAGTATTTCGTTCATCTTAATTTCACTTACTTTTCCACAATTATTCACACCAAATCCTCTCTCTCTCTCTCTCTCTCTCTCTCTCTCTCTCTCTCTCTTAATAATTCTTTGTCGTAAAATTCAAAATTTTTATCAGATGAAGCCCTGTCAACCATGTTTAATTCTTGACAATATTTCGTTCATCTTAATTTCACTTGCTTTTTCATCCTCTCTCTCCTCTCAATTATTCACCGAATCTTTGTCTCAAAAGAATTTTGTCTCCTCTCTCTCATCTCTCTCTCTATTCTCTCTCTCTCTCTCTCTCTCTCTCTCTCTCTTAATTTTAATTCTTTGTAAACAAATTCAAAATTTTCAATCAGATGAATTATTCCCTGTCAACTTCATGTTTAATTCTTGACTTGTATTTCGTTCATCTTAATTTCCTTGCTTTTTCCTCGCAATTATTCATCAAATCTCTCTCTCTCTCTCTCTCTCTCTCTCTCTCTCTCTCTCTCTTAATAATTCTTTGTCGTAATATTCAAAAATTTTTATCAGATGAAGCCCTGTCAACCATGTTTTAATTCTTGACAAGTATTTCGTTCATCTTAATTTCCTTGCTTTTCCTCACAATTATTCTCACCAATCTCTCTCTCTCTCTCTCTCTCTCTCTCTCTCTCTCTCTCTTCTTAATAATTCTTTGTTAATATTCAAAATTTTATCAGATGAAGCCCTGTCAACCATGTTTAATTCTTGACAAGTATTTCGTTCATCTTAATTTCCTACTTTTTTTCCTTAATTTTTTAAATCTCTCTCTCTCTCTCTCTCTCTCTCTCTCTCTCTCTCTCTCTCTCTCTTAATAATTCTTTGTCATAAAATTCTAAAAATTTTTATCAGATAACCCCTGTCAACCATGTTTAATTCTTGACAAGTATTTTCGTTCATCTTAATTTCACTTGCTTTTTCCTTTTATTGAATTTCTCTCTCTCTCTCTCTCTCTCTCTCTCTCTCTCTCTCTCTCTCTTTTAATAATTCTTTTTTGTAAAAATTAAAAATTTTTATCGAATGAAGCCCTGTCAACCATGTTTAATTCTTGACAAGTATTTCGTTCATCTTAATTTCACTTGCATTTTTCTGTCCCAATTATTCATCAAATCTCTCTCTCTCTCTCTCTCTCTCTCTCTCTCTCTTCTCTCTCTCTCTTTTAATTCTTTGTCGTAATATTCAAAAATTTTTATCAGATGAAGCCCTGTCAACCATGTTTAATTCTTGACAAGTATTTCGTTCATCTTAATTTCACCTTTTTTTCCTCACAATTTTTTCACCAAATCTCTCTCTCTCTCTCTCTCTCTCTCTCTCTCTCTCTCTCTTAATAATTCTTTGTCGTAATATTCAAAATTTTATCAGACATTTGAAGCCCTGTCTCCATTCTTTAATTCTTGACAAGTTTTTCGTTCATCTTCCAAATTTCACTTGCTTTTCCTCACCAATTTCATTTCTCTCTCTCTCTCTCTCTCTCTCTCTCTCTCTCTCTCTCTCTTAATAATTCTTTGTCGTAATATTCAAAAATTTTATAATTTATAAACCCTGTCAACCATGTTTAATTCTTGTTCTATATTTCGTTCATCTTAATTTTTGCTTTTTTTCCAATTATTCAAATTATCTCTCTCTCTCTCTCTCTCTCTCTCTCTCTCTCTCTCTCTCTCTCTTAATAATTCTTTGTCGTAATATTCAAAATTTTTATCAGATGGTCCCCCTGTCAACCATGTTTAATTCTTGACAAGTATTTCGTTCATCTTAATTTCACTTCTTTTCCTCGCAATTATTCACACTGCATTTCTCTCTCTCTCTCTCTCTCTCTCTCTCTCTCTCTCTCTCTCTCTCTTAATAATTCTTTGTTTTAAATTTCAAAAAATTTTATCTGAATGAAGCCCCTGTCAACCATGTTTTAATTCTTGACAAATTTTCGTTCATCTTAATTTCTGATCTTTTCCTTTATAATTATTCCATTGTCCCTCTCTCTCTCTCTCTCTCTCTCTCTCTCTCTCTCTCTAATAATTCTTTCTTTAATATTCAAAATTTTATATTTATGACCCTGTCAACCATGTTTAATTCACACAAATATTTCGTTCATCTTAATTTCACCTTTTCCTCGCAATTTCACATTTCCTCTTTTTCTCTCTCTCTCTCTCTCTCTCTCTCTCTCTCTCTCTCTCCTCTCTCTCTCTTAATAATTCTTTTTGTAATATTCAAAAATTTTATCAGATGAAGCCCTGTCAACCATGTTTAATTCTTGACTCTTTTTTCGTTCATCTTAATTTCACTTGCTTTTCCTCACAATTATTCCTTCCTCTTTCTCTCTCTCTCTCTCTCTCTCTCTCTCTTCTTTAATAATTCTTTTTTAATAGACAAAAAATTTTATCAGATGAATTGCATCAACCATTTTTAATTCTTGCCAAGTATTTCGTTCATCTTAATTTCACTTGCTTTTCCTCGAAATTGGGTAAATAATCCTCTCTCTCTCTCTCTCTCTCTCTCTCTCTCTCTCTCTCTCTCTTCTTCAATCTTTGTGTCGTAACATTCAAAAAATTTTATCGACAATTTTTAAAATCAACCATGTTTAATTCTTGACAAAATTTCGTTCATCTTTTTTTCCCTTCTTTTCCTCGCAATTATTCACAAATTTCTCTCTCTCTCTCTCTCTCTCTCTCTCTCTCTCTCTCTCTCTTAATAATTCTTTGTTTAATATTCAAAATTTTATCAGAAGAAGCCCATTTTCTATCAACCTGTTAATTCTTGACTCTCTATTTCGTTCATCTTAAGAATCTTGCTTTTCCTCAAATGGGTTCTCTCTCTCTCTTCTCTCTCTCTCTCTCTCTCTCTCTCTCTCTCTCTCTCTCTCTCTTAATAATTCTTTTTCGTAATATTCAAAATTTTTATCAGATGAAGCCCTGTCTCCATTTTTAATTCTTCAAGTATTTCGTTCATCTTAATAAACTTACTTTTCCTCACAATTATTCACGGGGTCTCTCTCTCTCTCTCTCTCTCTCTCTCAATTCTCTCTCTCTTAATAATTCTTTGTCGTAATATTCAAAATTTTATCTCGATAAAAAGCCCTTCAACCATGTTTAATTCTTGACAACTATTTTTTCATCTTTTTTCACTTACTTTTCCTGCAATTTATGTTATTTTCCTCTCTCTCTCTCTCTCTCTCTCTCTCTCTCTCTCTCTCTCTCTCTCTCTCAATCATTCTAATTCTTTGTCCATTTTTAATATTCAAAAATTTTTATCAGATGAAGCCCTCTCAACCATCTTTTTAATTCTTCTCGTTTTTTTCGTTCATCTTTTTATTCTTTTCCTTTTCTTTCGCAATTATTTCACCAAATCTCTCTCTCTCTCTCTCTCTCTCTCTCTCTCTCTCTCTCTCTCTCTTAATAATTCTTTGTCTTCTTAAAAATTTTTTTTATCAGATGCAAGCCCTGTCAGCCATGTTTAATTCTTGACTCTCTATTTCGTTCATCTTAATTTCTTTTGCTTTTCCTCTTTTATTTTCTATCGGAATCTCTCTCTCTCTCTCTCTCTCTCTCTCTCTCTCTCTCTCTCTCTCTCTTAATAATTCTTTGTCGTAATATTCCAAAATTTTTATCAGATGAAACCCTGTCAGCCATGTTTAATTCTTCTCTCTCTCAATTTCGTTCATCTTTCTTTTACTTGCTTTTTCCTCGCAATTATTTCATAAAAAATCTCTCTCTCTCTCTCTCTCTCTCTCTCTCTCTCTCTCTCTCTCTCTTAATTCTTCTTTGTTGAATATTCAAATAATTTTTATTTTCAGTCCCCTGTCAACCATGTTTAATTCTTCTCTCTCTTTTCGTTCATCTTAATTTCGAACTTTTCTCGCAATTATTAACAATCAAATTTTTTCTCTCTCTCTCTCTCTCTCTCTCTCTCTCTCTCTCTTTAATAATTCTTTTTCTTCTTTATTCAAAAATTTTATTCAATCTGCCCTGTCTCTCCATCTTTAATTCTTGACAAATTTTCGTTCATCTTCTTTTTTTCTTTTCCTTTCGCAATTATTTTGCATTTTCATTTTCTCTCTCTCTCTCTCTCTCTCTCTCTCTCTCTCTCTCAATAATTCTTTGTAATATTCAAAAATTTTGTTCAATTCTGCCCATCAACCATTTTTCTTTCTTCTCGTGTTTATTTCATTTCTTTTTTAATTTTTTTCCTTTTATTTCTTTTTCTGAAATCTCTCTCTCTCTCTCTCTCTCTCTCTCTCTCTCTCTCTCTCTCTTAATAATTCTTGTAAAATTTCCTTTTTTTATCAGATGAAGCCCTATCATCCATGTTTAATTCTTGACTCTTTTTTTCATCTTAATTTTCACTTCTTTTTTCCTTTTCAATTATTTCTGCATTTTCTCTCTCTCTCTCTCTCTCTCTCTCTCTCTCTCTCTCTTCTTTTAATTCTTTTGTAAAATTCAAAAATTTTATCAGATGAAGCCCTCTGTCTCCATCTTTAATTCTTCTTTCAGTATTTTTTCATCTTAATTTCACTTGCTTTTCTACAATTATTCATCAAATCTCTCTCTCTCTCTCTCTCTCTCTCTCTCTCTCTCTCTTTCTCTCTTAATAATTCTTTGTCGTAATATTCAAAAATTTTATCAGATAAACCCTGTCAACCATTTTAATTCTTGACTTCTATTTCGTTCATCTTAATTACTGTTTTCTTTAATAAAAATTAAATCTCTCTCTCTCTCTCTCTCTCTCTCTCTCTCTCTCTCTCTCTCTCAAAATAATTCTTTTTCGTAAACATTTATTTTTTTTTTATCAATGAAGCCCTGTGTCCCATCTTTAATTCTTTTTTTTATTTCTTTCATCTTTTTTTTTATTTTTTTTTTATTCAATGAATTGTTTCAAACCTCTCTCTCTCTCTCTCTCTCTCTCTCTCTCTCTCTCTTCTTAATTCTTTTTCGTAATATTCAATGTTTTTATCAGAATGAAGCCCTGTCAACCATGTTTAATTCTTTTCTCTCTTTCGTTCATCTTAATTTCACTTTTTTTTCCAAAATTATTTATTTAATCCTCTCTTTTCTCCTCTCTCTCTCTCTCTCTCTCTCTCTCTCTTCTTTGTTCTTTAATTCTTTGTCTAATTTTCAAAAATTTTATTTTAAATCCCCTGTCACCCTTTAATTCTTGACAAGTATTTCGTTCATCTTAATTCATCTTGCTTTTCCTATTCTTCCTTTCAATTTTCTCTCTCTCTCTCTCTCTCTCTCTCTCTCTCTCTCTCTATTCTTTTTTGTGATATTCAAAATTTTTATCAGATAAGCCCTGTCAACCATGTTTAATTCTTGACTCTTTTTTTCATCTTTTATTTCACTTTTGCTTTTTTGTCGTTTTATTCAAATCTCTCTCTCTCTCTCTCTCTCTCTCTCTCTCTCTCTTAATAATTCTTTGTTGTTCTATTCAAAATTTTTATCGATATGAATTTTTGTCCCCATGTTTCATTCTTGACTAGTTTTCGTTCATTCTTAATTTACTTCTTTTTCCTTTTATTCACAATTATTCATTAAAATCTCTCTCAATCTCTCTCTCTCTCTCTCTCTCTCTCTCTCTCTCTCTTTCTAATTCTTTGTCGTAATATTCAAAATTTTATCGAATGAAACCCTGTCTTTCTGTTTAATT